AAGGCACATGATGATACAAATTGTCATGTCATACCTTCTCAGAAAGGTATACTGATTACATTGTCACAAGCTACCTGGATGACACTCATTTTTTAGGCACCTATACTCAGTTGCCCACCCTTCCTTTAGAAAATCATTTCTACCTTGGTAGATTAAATATGGTATCTGATTGTCACAATGTTGCCTCTTAATGTTCCTTGCCTTCCCCTACGTTATATTGAGTGTCTTTTTAAATCATTTGTGCAAAATTTTACATAGAAACTTTATTAATTTCCCCTGTCTTTGCCTTCCATTAGTTTTGTTAAAACCTGTTGCTCTTGAAAAAAGTGGAAACATGTTAATTTCTGAAGTTTGGTTTTTTTTTTTAATCCATTAATTTAAATTATGTCCAGTAAGTTCGGGTTCCCGAGCGCAGCGTCAGTGTGGCACTGAGGAGCGGCCCGCAGCCTCCCGCGTCCGTCGCCCGGCTCCACAGTCCGGGTACACCTGCACTGCGCCCATCCTGCAGCGCGGGGACCGGTCCCCAGGGCGGGACACCGGTGCAGCCCAAGCCAGGCCCGGGGTTAACCAGAGGAAGACCCCTCCCCCTTCTCCCCCCCGCATAAAAAGCCACCCGTCTTCCCCACGGCGCCCGTCGCCGGGAAGGAAGGCTGCTCTCCTCTCCGCGGCCCTCCGCCCGGTTCGAGCTTCGCCGTCGGGGCGTCCCGGGCGCCAGGGCGGGTCCGGGCGGTCCCGAGGCCTCTGTAGCCGCCCCAAAACCTCAAGGCCGCTTTGAAGTGGTTGACGTGAGATTCCCCCCAAATCTGGGGACCTACGTAGACGTTCGCGCAGGAATCAGAAGCCCGAGCGCCGCGGGGAACCTCAAAGGGGTTGGAAGAAGCCAGGGACCCACACACTCAAGGGGAGGACCCCGGGCAAGCACCGCCACCCCCAACTCGGGAGCCGGGCGGACAGACGGAAACGCCCACGGCTCCGCCCCCCACGTGGCCTCCGCCCCGGGCTTCCCGTGTCACTTCCCGCCGTCCGTTCCCCAGCTTCCTCGCCCCCGCCCTCGGCGACCCTCCTTGCGTTTCCTTTGTCCCCTCCCCATCCTCGCCTCGGGCTTCCCGAGTCCCCTCCTTGAGATTACCTCCCCCCTCGTCCCGGCGCAGCGCTCCCTCTTGGAGCTCTCCTTGTCCCCTCCCCCCTCCGCCTCCCCGTCCCCTACCGGAGCCGCTCCCGTGCCCTCTCCGCCCCCTCCCGGCTTCCTCGTCCTCTCCCCTCTCCGCCCCCGTTTTTAAACCTGGCGTGGAGCGCGCGGGTAGGTGAGCGCCCTCTCCGGAGCGGTTACAGGCGCGGCGGAGTCGCCGGCGCTGCTGGCGTGTCGCGGGCTCCGCGGGCACCATGAGACCCGAGGCGGCGGCCGGAGCCCGAGAGGCGCGGGGTCGCGTCTGTCACTGCCCCGCGGACGGTTCCCGGAGGCCACCGCCGC